AAAACAAAAGTACTATATTAGGCAAATCAATGCCATGAAATGCTCATGGTAAAAAGAAATCTTCTTGGTGTATCTAAACTCTCAGAAGACAGGGATTAATTTAGTAAATTTTAAAGAGTTTCAGCAATGTGTCTGACTGGAAGTGGGAAGAAGGCTTCATTATGTTGTTGGAGCTCTCCTTCCTGTTCTAGGAAGATGCACTCCTGGGCTGAACACCAGTAGAGTCTTTCGTGTTTGCACTCTTAAGTCATGATGATTTCTGGGGCTCCAAGTTACAAATATTCTACCCCAAAATTTATCTGAATGTGACCTTTTCCTAAGGGTTTCCTTGCTTGGGATGGACTTCTTCCAGGGATACTACCTTTTTCTTCCTTTATTTAAACTGCTCCAGAAATTCTAAATCCTTATAGAGACTTTTGTTTATTCATTTGGTCAATCCACACAATACTGAGTGAAAATTCCTCCATTTTATATACCAAGCAAGGTACTGGGAATGTAGTAGTGAGCAAAAAAGTCGTTGTCTTTGTTCTGGTGCTCTTAGGTCCCCTGAGGAAAGGGAATATTGAATAGTAGAGTAGACTATCACTTTCTGGAAATTTTGAAAATGATTACAGTAAAACATCCAGGAAATATTGTGAGTATATAAGAGAAGGCTTCATCCAGTCTGTGAAGTATGATAGAGTTTAGGAAAAGGTCCTTGAATATGAATTGGGCATAGCTGGGTGAAAAGAAGTGAGAGCATCTACAGCAGTGGTAACAGCCAGTGCAAAGACCCCGACAGGGAAGACACTACAATTGCTGTGAATTGAGAATAAAGAAGGAGAGTATTGTGGCTGGAATAGAATGAGTCAGAATGAGAGTCAAAACTGACAGCTAGGAAGGGCCATGTGCAAGAAGTGTGTATTTTATTATAATTACCTTGGGAAATTTTTAAAGATATTCTTGCAAGCAAGCAGTTGACATACTCAAATATGCATTTTTAAAAAATTCACGCTGGCTCAGTGTAGAAGATTGGAAACAATTAATGGCAAAATCTCGAAGGACTACTTTGGAGACTGCTGCAGGTATCCATTAATACAAATGGTGACCTAAGGCATGCTGGTGCTGTGGAGATTAGGGGAAGTGTCTGAGATAGTAGCAGCCCACTCACCCTGGCAAGTTCTTGTTTACAGTGTCCACTTGTTGGTGGGATTCCCAACACACTGACTCACAACAAAGATCTTACTAATAAACAAACAAAAATTTAGCATGCCTAGGAATAGTATATGGCCTGAAAGACCAAGAGTAAAGATTATCTTACATTAGCCAGCTGTACTTTGGAATAACACACAGGCCTCTGTGAAGCATTTCATGGTTTATTAAACAAAATTCTGTTTGCAACTGACAAGTTAGAAAAATAAACATCCATGTTTTTTTTCACTTTATATTTCCTTGGTTTGTGCAGAGACTCACACACAGTCCAAGTCTTAGGGCTTCCCTTGGAGACCCGTTAGGCAGGCCCAAATCTCCACTTTTGAATGACCCGAGGAAATCAGGCACAGGTTACCATCAAGCCCTGTGACAATGGGAATCGGGAGACAATTTTTGTTTCCATCACCAGAGAAATTATTTAAGCCAGTTACCAGCCTTTTAATGTGTGTGCTGTTCTAGGTGCCAACCTCTGGGGCCCTTTGCCCTTCCCAAAGTGAGAGAATGGCATGAATGATCTGTGGGAAGAAGAGCTTTACAGTTTCTGAGAAATAATACTCTTCTACTGTTAACCTAGAATCTCAGTTGGGTTGTGTGTACGTGTGTGTGTGTGGGGGGGGGTTACATTTGTGTGTGTTAGAATGATTTATTTGCCTTAATTCTATTTGGGTCTCTGGTTTCAGAGAAGACAAAAACTTTAAGCATGCATTAAAATGATTTGGAGGACTTCTGTAAATATAAAGTGCTGTGCTCTAGCTCCAGAGTTTCCAAGTCAGGAAGAGAGTCGGGCCTGAGAGTTGTGCATTTCTAACCAGTTTCCAGTTGATGCTGAGGCTGCCATTCTGGGGACATCACTGGTTGAAGTGATGCAGACCCTGATGAATTATATTTAATGAATCAACAAATGCCTCCGTGCATGGCCTTGTCATTTCCTCCAGGCCTGTGACTATCCAATCCCGTTAGCATAGAGTTCTCTTGCAGCTTTCCTTGCCTCCAAAGCTAAACTCTTTTGGAGTCCATGGAATTACCTGTACTCTCTCCACCACAAGTTTACCTGTTTTGAGGCAGACATTCTCAGTCTTCTTGGTGTGGGACTTGGCACATTGTCAGGGTTAATTTAAGCAAAATCATCAAAGCTTAGTAAATGAGTGAATGGATAAATGAATGCTTCAGGATGAATTTCTGACCAGGACATCATAGTCGCATCTAGAATATTCACCTGGAGCTGAATTGTATTTCTTTTGACTCTATTACTTAATATAATAAGGGCCTCCTAATATGTGCTTTGCTTTATACTGGTAAAGCATTATCTCTTGCAGGGAAAGATTTTAAAATCCAATTATAGAAAAGAAAACAGTCAAATACTAAATTACCATATGAGAATAACCTTTATTGTTGATTGACATATCTAAAATCACTAAGCATTGTAGCTTTCTGGAAGAAAAGGTCATTGTGGCTTTGTGTGTATTAGGTAAGCCTTTGATCTGATGTATGTGTGGAATTATTGGAATCATTCAGTTATCCATTTACTCAACTTCTTATTAAACAACTACAATGGGCTAGCCATAGGTGAATCTAACATTTGTTAGAAAACTTGGAGTTTATTCGGTGTCATCTTTTTCCTGACACTAGAATCCCCTCAAAACTTCCTCACTGATGGCTTTCCAGCAACTGCTTGGACACTTAGTAATGGAAGTCTCATTAACTCATGTGAAAGCCAATCTGAATCACTGCTGTTGGAAATGAGCTATCTGTCCCTAAAGTTGCTATGTGCCCAATTTTGACTCCTTCAGCTAACTTCTATTCCCAATAGTCCTATTAGATAAGGGCAGTGGGTGTCTCACACTGAGGTAGAACATGGACACAGTTTCTGGACGACCCAGCTTTGATTCCCTGTTCTCAAATAGGAGACCTCAGGAAGTTGTTAAACTTTCCTGTCATCCTTTCCTTCTCTGTAAAATGGGGATAATATTAGGCTTCCAAAAATTTTGAGGAGAGTGAACAAATTTACTACATCCAACAAATTTAGAAGAAGGTGTGGCATATAATTAATGGTCAGTAATATTAATTGCTGTTTTTAATCTTATAACTATTCTTTATAAAATGTTATCTTCTCCTATAAGTATCCAACTAAACATCCTTATGTTGGACAGCCATGGTACTACTCAGCTTTGGCTGCTCTCATCCCCTGGACTTTTACAGCTTATTAGGACCCCTCTTACTACAGTGCTCAGAATATAGCCCAACAATAGGGGTTGTTTGTCTAGCACAGGATGGAGAAAGATGATCATGCCTAGTGTTCTGAATTTGGTGTGATGAAAGGTGTAGTATTAAAAAAATAAAAATATATATTTAGCACCTATTACACAGGGATTATGCATGACTCTTTAAATATCATTTCTCACTCTATGGCAGTTAAGTGAGATAGGTGTAGAGGCTCACACAGGAACATCTCACTAAACGTATCATCCAAGATCCAAAGGGATCTGCCAGCTTCCAAGATGCGTCTCTTGTCATTCTCCATGCTGCTTCATTGTGACTAGGAAATTTCCAAGAAACCACAGGGCCCCTAACTTTAGCAGTAAGGGCCAAATTCAAAAATAGGTTGCAAGACCTGCCGCATTATGTGGGACAAGTATTTTGACAAAAGCTTTATTTATTCATTGCTGAAATATCCATTCTCAATCTAATTTTCTTCCCTATCTCTTGGGTTTGGCAAACATAATACTCTTGGGCAGAGAATAATAATGCCCAGAAACCACTAACTGTGTTGCATTTCAAACCCTAAAAAGATGAGAAAACATCGGGCCGGGGATTTAGCTCAGTAGTTTCGCCGCCTGCTGCGCAAGCGCAAGGACCTGAGTTCGATCCCCAGTACCAAAAAAAAAATGAGAAAACATCAAAAGAATGAAGCAATAGGGTGTTATCTCCTCATGCCAAACAGTTACTATGGATCCATATTATAAGTGTTCCTCTTATCACTGAATAGTTCATAATAATAATGATAACCACGGACTGGCACTGAATGTCATGAGCAGGGACTCGCAGTGGATGGGCAACAGCAGCAGCTGTCATGCAGCAAGCATTCCCTCCATGCAAGTCCTCTGCCAAAGACTGCGTGGTCATTCTCCCATACACCTTGTACTAACCCAGTGAGTCTTTTCCTGAATGAGGAAAAGGATCCAGGCTAGTTCCATGGCTCATCTCCTCTGGGGTTTAAGTTCCAGGGTGTTTGCTTCCTTTTGTAGTTACAGTCCTATTTGGAGCACTTTCTAAACATTACACATTTTGCTCCGATTAGATGTCTAGGGAGACCTTCCTTCCACACGTACATGCCACACTAGCACCATGATGAAGAGAGAGGTAAATTACTAGTAAACACAACTTCATATTCACAGAAGGAATTTACTGTAACAAAGCAGTATCATGCATATCAGGTGATGAAATTCATACAATGTCCCTGTGAGGTGTTGTTGTCATACATATTTTATAAGTGGGAACCTGAGGGTGAGAACAGTTAGAGGTTTGCCCCAGGTCCCTAAGCACCAAGCTGGATCTTTCTGACTTTGGCTCCCCAGTCTTGGTATCTTGCTTTCTTGGCCTTTAATTTAAAATAAAAATATAAGGAAAGCCAAAACATCCTAAAAGGAAATATAAATAAGCAATGGGAAAAAACATAAAACTACCCAAATCCCCCATTTCAAGACAACCTCAACCAACATTTTGGTATTGTCCCTTTCAAACTTTTCAATTTCAAAATATATGCATACATGCATGCATACTTTTTTAAAAGAAAGGAGTATTAATACATATTAATTCAGGGCCTGTTTTTATTTCCTTCACGGTCCAATTATGCATTTATTTCCATATTGGCCTTTACCATGCTCCATACATAATCATTCTTAGAAGCCCATTCTATCCCATAATTCCAGTCTCTAAAAGTTAAACAAGTGGGCCTTAGTCTTCCATTTTGCGCTCTATCTCCAAGGCCATTCAGAGAGTGTTGGGCTAAATAAAATAAAAACAAAAGAAAAAGAAAAAAACTTCTCAGTAGTCTTAGCCAGACTGGTAACAGTAAATCTCCACTTCCCTCCTCTCACTGCCCCAAATTCCACCTGAATGCAAGCAAGACAGCCTAAGTAATACAGCTCCAGTCTGGAATGGATTATGAATGCAGAGAAGCATCTTAAACTCAGGCCAACCCAGGAAACCACAAAGGGTCTCCTATTGCCTTCTTTGGGGTAGGGTTTTGTACTTAGTAAAACAAAAAAGAGGCTAACATTACCTGTATTCTGACCACTCTGATAAGGGCAAGGTCTGCAATCTTAATTAATCCCCCCAAGCCTTTGTAGTGGGCAGCGAGAAGATCCCTTCTGCTGACTCAGACTCTACTCAGGAGAGAAAATGCACCCAGCCATTGATGGAAGACCTTTCCCAAGCTCTCCTCTTACCAGGCATTGTCACAGTTTAACAAGATAACTTTGCGTGTACATCCAGGTCCCCCTTGCTGCCCTAGGAGAGCATATTTCATCAGAATACAAAACACTTACTGTACAGGTTTGTCATTCTCTGCCAGATCAGATGAAGTTTTCTCTTTAAAAAACAAAGAAAATAAGAAACTGAGAAAAATAGTGGTGGAGAAAGAAGAGATTTATGGGGTTAAGTATAGACGGGGAATGTTCTAAGAGAATTAGCTATGGATACTTGTCTGGTGCTGTGTGTGGACTTTCATTTTAGGCATCATATTCATTTATCTCTATCCTTCTTCATGTGGATGAGAGAGAATTTCCAAGCAAAACACCCTCTCTGATTTGAATCCATGGCAGCCATCAAAGATATACAGCAGGACTGCTGAAGGCAACCGAGGGCTGATAGAATCTTAATAGCTCTGGGAACTACTCCTGCCTCTTCTTGGAGCCCCATTAATAGTATAGTTGGGAACACCAAATAATGCTGATTTTCTTTCCTACAACTGCTATTTTGGCTCTATTGCCATCTTCAAACTCTATTTCCTGTGGCAATTATTATGCTTTCTTTATTTCCAATGTCAGCTTATTTTCAAAGAAAAAAACCCCTTCATATAACACAGCTAAAGGACCCAAAATAGAACAATTTGTTATATTAAGCAAATGCTTATTTACATAATTGTGACTCTCATTTCTATATTAGCACAGCAGCAAAACCAACAGGCTCAATTCAGAAAAGCAGGACATGGTATACAAGACCTTATGTCTCTCTGGGGAAGAGCTAGGAAGAAGTCAACAGTAAACAACCTTTCCCTCTGAAGCCAATGTCCAAATGAAAGTTGGGAATTTTCCCTGTATATCACGGCCCCTTACCTTATTGTTTCAGGGAAAATTTTGACATGTTTTGTTGATTACATTCTATTCTCGCATTATATTTAAGATAAATTTTGGGGGACTGAGGGTATAGATCAATGGTAGAGGACCTTCTTAGTATGCAGGAGGTGCTGGGGTCAATCTCTAGTCACCTCCCTGCCAAATGTTTTATAAAGTTAAAAATTAACTACAAAATAAGAACTTTTTGTATTCTTGGAAAATGGGTCTCCAAAACATCCTCAATTTATTCCAAGAGAGATCAACTACCTCTCTTAATAATTTCTAAAAAAAAGGAGGTAAATCCAAAGATTATATTATTGGTTAGAGGAACTCTTGCTCATGATATTTGTGAGCATTGTTGCTACACAGAATTGTGGAGGAGTTAAGCTTATGCTAGGTTCCTTGAAATGGGAATCATGGTAAAGTATCTCTAAAAATGATGTCTAAAGGTACGCATATCAACTTACGTGAACTTGAATAGCTTTCATATCTAAAATGTACAAAACATTTATTATAGATCAACTCAATGTATAGTCACTTATAATATTATGAGGAGTTCTATTTTTCTGTATAGCAAAAGTTTTCCAAAATCTCATGCTAGTGAACCTATGAACTATCACACTGTCTAAACTGAGAACCAATGTTTTCTCAATTCAAGAATCTCTTTTAAATCTAGCTTCATAGTCATTTAAAGGAAAATATCTAATACCTGAAGCAACTCTGGAATTTGGTCTTTTCAAGACTCAAGCACCCAGTAAGTAATTTGAAGAGCTTAGTTGCTTAAAACATGAGCTGCGCAGTCAGGTCTGGGAGAAAAAAATTCCAGCTCTGTTACTGAGAGCTGTGTGACTTGGGGCATGCAACCTGACCTGGAGGAGCATCACTTTCCTTACTTGTAAAAGAGAGATCAGAAACATGTCTGACACCCAGAGTTCCCTTGATTCTATAAAAAAGAGATAAAGTATATGAAATGCTAAGCAACATGCCCGGCACAGGGTGTCAACCAAAGCTGTTGGTTATCCCTCATTGACATGTGTGCTACTTTGCAAAAAGATTTACTTCTTAGCTCTATGTTTGGGAAGGAGGCATGGGAAATAAATTCAGAGACTGGGTTAATGAAGGGAGCCACTGGGTAAGGGGTGGAAGGAGTTGGCAATGGATACATAAATCCATTTTAATTGCCATTTGAAACTAGAATTTTGACCTCCCCAAAGTGGCAGCATGATCTTTTGTCACCAGAGCCTCCATTAGTCAAAAGTGGGACTTGAAAGTAGGGTAGTTTGTTTCAAATTATCCACTAGCACACTAAAGGGATCCTTTTCTCCTCTGGAATCTTCTGCTAAGCTTACAGAGTTTATGGTTCCCATAATGCATATGTACAGTATCTATTTCATTTAACTTGCTATTAACACTTCCAGTTTCACTTACTGCAACACAGCTGGAAGAAAAGAATTGAAATCCACCATCTATGGTAGAATTGGAGTGTAGGTATTAGCAGTTTTATTTGAAAACCCACCCTACTTTCCCTTATCTTGTGTCGTGCTATAAATTCCATTCAATACACAATTTTCAAACATAGCTTTATGCCATAAATGGTTACTATGCTTTTTTCAGCAAGCCTTTTCTTTTTTTTTTATTAAATTTATTGGTACATTTTAGGTATACAATACAGTTACATTCATCATTGGGATCTTGTACCTTTACATTATATATCTTGGTTCTTATTTTTTTTCCCATTGCCCTGCCCACCCTTCCCTATTTACAAAGACTTTGTTTCCATTTTTTCCTTTTCTCATGTTTTTTTCTTTTCCTTTCTTTCCTTTCTCCTACCCCTCCCACTTCCCCTGCTCCTTTAGAACTTTTTTTCCTATTTCAATTATCAAGTATACATTTTGATCCTTATTTACACTTTCAGTTTCTCACACCAGAGAAACTATTTGGTATTTACACATGTGTGTTCTATTTATTTCACTTAAGAGTATGGCCTCAATATGCATCCATTTAGCTATAAATGTCTCTAGTTTCTCCTTCTTTATGGTTGAGTAGTACTCCATTTTATAAAAAAAACCCCACATCTTCTTTATCCAGTCTCCAGTTGATGGGCAATTGGGCTGTTTCCAAGTTTTAGCTATTACAAACTGTGCTGTCAGAAAGACATTTCTTACACTGGTTTTGCTCCACCCTAGCATTACAAAGAGCATAAAGACTTTTGCAAAAAGATGCCAAATAAACAACCATTTTTAAATATCCCCCCATATATATAAATCAAAATTTAAGTGTTAAAAACTTTTAAACTTCAAGCAATGAAATAGTTCACAATTTCTTCTAGTTTTGGAGTTTATGGTACTAGAACTTTCTGTAACCAACAAATGAAGAAGAATCCATCTGAGCTAGTTCAAAAAAAAGGTGGAGATTTAGTTTGAGGCCTTATGGGAACTAGAAATAGAAAACTACTCATCTGTGATGCATCTTTGCCTTCCATATTTCTTTTTCTTGGAACATATCACTGTATCTTCTTGCTGTGAAACTGATCAAAGTTCTCACTTCTCTAAGCATTTTGGCTGTCTGTGCTAATTCCTCAGCTTGCATCTGGCTGTAAAAGGCTTCTCCTTCCCTATTTCAGTGTGGCTTTTCAGTTAGAAAGCTGACACTGTCTGATTCCAGGGGTTGGGTCTCTTATTTCAGGTGTTTTAGAGAAAGAGAGAATTGGCTTAGTTACCCCCTAATCTTTGACCTACCTCCCATGTCTCATAAGTCCACCCCTTTTCCAATCAGCTGTAATGAGCAGGGGAGACACGGTCCTAAACTGATGACCCAGATCCAACTCTTACAATTGTGTCTGTCTTAATGAAGCCATCGAATCAAATTTCTCATTTCTTCTTTCCAGAAAAAGTACCCCCATGAGTTAGATCTCTGGTACCACAAAAAAGTACCACCAAACAGGCGATGCAACCTTTCAAAACTGAAACTACGTTTACAAAATTAAAACTAAAATTACATGATATGTCTTCAGAAGGCTTGTGTATCAAATGTATTTAAAAAGCTCCTCTTTCCCAATTTTTACTCATCTTAAAATTTTTTAAATGTCAATGTATATTGGTTTCTTTGGTCTGTTCTTTTGTCAAAGCATACCCATAGTGAAATCACTGCAACAGTAATACAGTATATTATTCTACATGACTGGAAATTTTTACTTGAATCTAATTTTATTTTATACGTGCAAAGATTTTTGGACAGGATAATGAATAAAAACTTATACAACAGTGTAAGCACTCTTACAGAATAAGAACTGCCAATACACACAATATCCTATTGTCTAGCATTAATTCTGAATATTGTTCCCAAAATAATATTTTCAGGACTCTCTCTCTGAGAAGTCAAAACCATTTTGTAGATCTTTCAATGTATAGCTAACTGCCTAGGGCTATATCGAGATCATTGTTTTTTAGGACAAAGCCTTTCATTCTATAACTTTCTCCTCCCCTGGCAAGGAAGGGGTAGGGGCTAAAATGGAGTGGAATGCAAAACCTATTTTGAAATGTATGAGAGTTGGATACTCCCAAAATTCCAACAAGATTACACACACAAAGAAATCTCATCTGGTAAATATTACATTTTGTTTTTGTCTTTGGTTTAGTTTTTACACAACTTGACAGTTTGTGGTACTGTGCCACATTTTGGAGCTAAGGTTTACAAACATCTGGCTCATGAGCAGCATTCCATTCCCCACAGCCCCCAGTGTCTCTGGGATAAAGTGTTTGCAACATACCAACTGAGGTGGAAAACAAGAATTTTCCTAGAGAACAATGGGGGCAAGCGAGGCATTATGCTTTATTGTGCTCCTCTGGAGACTGGGCCTTGAACAATTAACCCACTTGCTGATACCCGATGAACTTTAGGGGGTTGGAGAGTCTTAGACCCCTTCACTGAGTGGTCAGTTGGTTGGATCCTTTTAAGTTGTTGGCAAAATAAAAATTTTCTCAATAAAGCATCATAACAATGAAGTAATATAAATTCTTCAGTCATTTCAATGGAATATTTAAAAACCCATCTTGCTCTAGACTCTGTCTATCTAAGAATAAGTTTTCTTTCTTATACTTTCCATTGATGAACAGATAACAAGACCTTCATATTAATTAAAACATGTGCAATAATGCCTGGTACTTAGTAAAAGCTACTAAATTTTTGCTTGCATCATTATTATCTTCAGGTTGCTGAACAATGTAGTGTATGTAGAACAAAGTTATATTTGAATAGTCAGGATTTGATATTTAATTATGCTAATTGATATATCATATCTCTATCCTTTTTTTGGCTATCTTTCTTCCCCTATTTAAATGCTGTGTTAGGATATTAGTATATCATATAACTGTTTTTTAATAAAAATATCTACATTAAGAATTGCTAATTT